AAGAACGGTAATTACCTCTCCCGGCCGTGCAGAGGAATTTTAGGCATTCGAAAAAGCAGAGAGAGAGAGAACCACTCTCATCCACTGTGCATCACAAAATACGTGGTCGAAACCACACCGGTTAGGAAATACCCACGGATTGACGAATGCTCATGACAAAATATTGGAAAATAGACGCATATAAAGTGGGTTATTTGATACGCAATAAATTAATAGAGATGAAAGATGCAGAGCCCTATAAGTGCCAACATTTCCGAGGACGACTATATCACTAAACCCACGAATAGACGCAAACGAAAGCTCATATGACGTACAATATTGGAAAGTAGATGCATATAAAGTGGGGCATTTGGAAGCATAAATAAGTACACCCGAGAGATGTAGAGTCATAAACGAAAGCTCACATGATGTACAACGTTGGGAAGTACGTGCGTATAAAGTCGGATTATGCATTGTTACACTCTTCAAAGGGCGGGTGGCGATTGGCTGCGGTGTTAAAATGTCAATAATGTGATTATTGCGTCAAATAAAAGGAATACTAAATTGTCGCGCCTCTCGAAAGTGCAGTAATTCCGTGTTTCTGGACTGCCTTGATGGAATGAAATGCGCCTGTTGGCGTATAGTCAACACCAAAGCTAATAGTTTAAAAACAAATACTTAATCAGGTCTTAACACCCAATTAACCGCTCTGGTCATTTCGTTTCTTATCATAATTTCCAGACAAGTTGAATAACTGTTTAATATACTTCAAAACTGGTGTAAAAGCTGTTATAATAGAGTTGTAATATCAAACACTTCGTTAGTGGTTTGACGTTTGCCGTAAACGTCAAAACGTAAACGTCAATCTAAAGGTCTCTATGAGAGATTATATATGATAAATGCTCACTTGCTAATCGCATTATACATATATAGCCTTTGTCACTTTGTGTGAAACAATTCGCATTTCCTGTATACACATGTATTGAAATATATTGTGTTTTAAACTTGACAATAAGTTCCTTAACTTAATTAAGAATTTTTTTAGACATTTATTCGACTTTTAACAGTTCAATTGGCCCCGTATTAGCAGCATGCAAATTAGATTGTTACAGTATACTTTTAATAAACAATATTTTTATAAAGCAAAAGCCTTATCAGTATAATGTGAACTAAACTAACTTTATTTAAACTGGATAGCACTTTCACTATTTTAAACTGTTGTCTTTGGACGTTCAGTAAAGGACGTCCCTTAATTATTGTCTGATGTTATAGCATGTGTCACAGCTAGACGCCCGTGGGCGGAAAGGAGGTCGCTAAGTAGCGATGTCTGTGTTTATCACAATTACGTCACAGACCATGTCGTAGTCTACTGATGTTACTACAGGAGGGAACCAGAGTACCAGGAGAAAAGTTGAGGTGTTTGGTACGACTGAGGTGAAATTATAATCAGACAATTCTACAACGAACCGTATCCTGAATTTCAGACGGTCACTCGTTGACATGTATATTTCAACCATGGATATCTCAACGATGTATATGTCAGCGAGTGGTCGTCGTCTGAAATTCACAAACGCACAATTAGGCTGTTTACTGTTCGGAGTACTCCAGATTTTCGGAACACTAATTGAATCAAACCGAAAACGGTCACATGACTGTTCTGACTGCCCGCGCAGTCAGAACAGACATGTGACCGTCAGAACAGTCATGTGATCATTGTTGGTTCGATTTAATTAGTGTTCCGAAAATCCGGAGTACTCCGAACAGTAAATGGAGCAGCCTCCTGCAGTAGTATGATTGGATTAATTGCGTCACGCCAGAAATTGAAGCGAGGTAGTGAAGTATGTCGTCAGACGCCTCCGTGGGATTTTCAACACCTTGTCAAGCCGGAACAAAACTAATCATGTTACAATTAGCCCACCCACATCATCACGATAAACTAATGTCAGAAGATGCAGTTTCCGTCAAAAAATTTGAACAATCAAATTTCAAAAACAAGAAATCGAGGAACACGGAATGGGGGATAGAAAACGCGGAATACTAAAAGAGACAAACGATCAAGTTCGGGATTAGCCTGCTCGCAGGCCGTTGTAGTTCGGGATTTTCGTAATGATGTAGGAACGACGAAGTGTAACACGATTAACTTTGTTCCGGTTTGACATTAAGGTGTTGAAAAATTCCGAGGAGGCGTGATGCCACATTCTTGAAAACTTGACATTCCGAGTCATCGAATTTCTACCCAGGTTCCTGTTCAGCCTAAGATGTAGACATATTTCCTGTTCGCCGTTGAACCACAATTCCTGCTGCCAATGAAAAATTCCAAAGTAAAACAGTAATACATGTTTCAATACACCGAGAAAAATCCATAGACTTAAAAACAACATGTTTCAATATTTGAAAGGTCATTTTAAAAGGTGGAACAGTGTAGATATTCATTCAAGATAAGATCAACTGACTTGTGACTTCCTACATTAACTTTTTGAAGAAAAGCTATTGATTTTTTATATGGTTTTGCTCCTCTAACCTCTAAAATTCATGATCCTACTCTTAAAAATTCATAAAAACTGCTTGTGAGATGGTGATTGAGTTGTCAGCTAAGATTCATGGGGGCAAGGCGTAGGCTACGTCTATCAGGCAAATCAATTCTATGATTCAGTTCTGTATTGCTGTTTAATATTTTGTGAGTTGTGAGCTTTTTGTAAACGAGCAGGATATTTAGTGTCAGAGGTACAAGCTCCTTCATTCACGCTCATGATTTTCTTTGTGGTTTCCCATGTATTGCTATGAGAATTACACATGATACTGCAATTGAGAAACACATTAAACGATTTAAAACGTTTTTCTTTAATCATGAAAATTAACTATACTATTAATTAAAAGAACTCGAAATCTATATGTTTCGTGTGCACGCGATGTGGTTGACCATTCATCCAAGCCATAGCCGGTACGTTAAAAGTGTACGACTTAAATTAATCTATTTATTTGCAATGATGAAAATCGATATATATATTATATATATATATACAGGGTGTATCAAAATAAACGCAATTCATCTTTTGTGCTTAATAACTTTCGAAATCCTATTTCTAGTTAAACGCGTTTAGGCTTACTTCAAAGCCTGTTCTTTTCTCTTTCAAACAAACTATTATCCTTGTCTCCAATGCTAGTAGTAATTGCACAGGAAAAGATTTAGTAAAACCTATCATTTTTAGTTGCTGTTTAATTATGCAAGTTTACTATGTTATTGTTTAGTCGGTTTAAATGTTAGAATTTCTTCTTTAAACTTTAATGTTGTCGCCACTACATCTGGAAAACCACGTAAGAACAAATTAAAAGTATTTAAAAGAGACCAGCTTGTTTGAAAATCCTAAACGAATGCTAAAAATCGTCAAAACATTCTGGTGTCTGAGCCAGAGTGTCATCGAATTGCGATGTAATGTAAACAGAAATTATAGCAAGTTGATGTCAGTCAGCTTAGATAGTCCAAGCCAAAATTATATCGCATTTGAAGTTTCAAACTGAGTTAAAAATAGTGGAAGAAAAGCCGTAATTATACTTATTGTTACAATCCATTTAATAAAATGCAACATTTTTTTGTTTTAATGAAAAAATCAGTTATTTTCATGAGAACTATTTGTTATTCCATCTCAATTTTTTTAATCTCCAATCGCAATAACGTAAAGTATTATTACCCGCGAACCAATGAGTCAAATTTAAGAAACAACCCACTGTTAGAAAGCTGAATGGCTACGCTTTAAATGAATGTAAACTTTAACGTTTTCGTCTATTATTTGTTTAGCAATTTACATTTCAGTCGAGGATTGCGCTTTTTTTGATACACCCTGTATATATATATAATAATACATGCATTAGCCTTATTTTGTGAGGTTAACAACTATTTTGTGTTATTAAAAAAATGTTTCAATCAATTAATACATGCATACAAAATTTAATTATTTTGAACTCATCAATATGAACGAGTTCTGTGATTGGTTTACAAATAACAATGAAACACAATAAAACTAAAGAATAATTTTTTAACGAACGAATCACAAACATTTATCACTTGTATTTGAGCAAGCCAATCACAGAACATTTGTTTCTTCAAAAACCTTTTATGCTCAGTTCAAACATCGCGCGTATCATGAGCTAGACAATCACAGAGCATTTGTTTCTTCAAAAACCTTTTATGCTCAGTTCAAACATCGCGCTTATCATGAGCTAGACTTGTTCCAAGTCTCTCTCGAATTCAGTTTTGATACGGTCTATCCAGTTATGAGACCTTGGGTGGTTGTTATGAGATTGGCCTATCCAGTCAATGGCCTATCCAGTCAATGTTTAGATCAGTTTTATTTTCAATTGGATCGTATCCAGTCAATCATAAGATCAGTGCCTGGCTTGGAAGGAACAACTGATCTCATAACACACTATCAAAAATGGAGAGCGAGGCTTGAAGCAAGTCTAATCATGAGCCGAAGCTAACGTTAATGTCCTAAACTTGTTGTTTCAGCTCCTTGGCTCGGCACATGAAAAGGTCGACGTGTGAACTAGGTCTTCGTACTTACTTATGTTTTACACTGTAATCTCATTTCTATTTCTTTCGCTGCAACGTTGACAAAAATGATCCGCGTCATCACTTTTACAGCCAAGCAAAGCGTAAAGAAAACCTTTCTTTCGACGGCAAAGAGTAAAGTCCATAATTAATATAGTAAATAGTACAAACGACAGCAAAAAGGCGGCGAGGATAACTTTGCCTGAAGCAATGTAAACTAGAATCTCATAATTTGACTCTAAACAGAAACATAAAAATTCCTGTTAATTCATCAATTCTCTATTGCATAAATCCTCATACCCGCTGGCAATCCCCCCTCTATAGTACGCCTCCTTTATAACAATCCCCTCTCTCTAATGAACCTCTCTCTAATAGTCCCTTCTCTAATAATTATGTTCCCTTTATAATAAGCCCCCCTCTCTAATCAGCTCTCTCTCTCTCTCTCTCTCTCTCTCTCTAATACGCCCTCCTTCTAATACTCCTCAACTCTAATATACTCGTGCATAATACCTTTATCATGCGGGTTTGCATCTTCTGAGGATCCTTGTAGGTTTTCAGTATTTGAAAGTTTATCTTGTGTTGTAGGGCTTGAGGGTTGTTGTCCTTCAGCGTTTTCTCCATCATAAGCCTTGCAGGAAATATCATTTGTAACGTTCAAAAACTTCCCTGCATATGTATAGGTAATGACAACTTCTGATCTGCTATGTTTTACCACTACGCAGCCAGGCAAGCACTGTTGGTACGCCAGGTATTTACATTGTGGGACAGCGTTTTCATGCTCAGGGGCGAGACTGTATCTTGGTTGAGTACTGTTGCAAACGTCACACACACGCATCAGATTGACAGGATTTTTCGTGTACTTCGCATTGAAATAAACTTCTGGCACTGCAAGAAAATTTCATTGAGATTAAAGTTACGGAGTAATACTGAATCACCTTTCCTTGCAGTTGAGACCTGAATTACGTGAAACGTCAATGAGTCGAAGGTTGATTAATGCGTCTCGGGTGTCGCCATGAAATGCAGCTAAGGTGGATTTTTTACTTTTTGGTGTGAGGAAAACCCGGGGAAAAGATACCGGAGAAAATCCCTCCATCTACAGGAACGAACCAAGCACAGCCCATTTCCCACCGGGCACATTTGTTCACGCGCAGCTGGTTTATCCTATGTCAACATTGCTCATCACGTCAGCAAAAATGATGCCGACAAAGTCGCTTCGCGCGAACAAATTCGTCCAGTGGAAAACGCGCTTTACATACGAGTTTTTCAAGCCGCATCACCGCGGGTAACAATAGCCTAACCTAGATATTCAGTATAGCAGTTTTAACTTAGTGATGAGGGAAGAGCTCCCGTGTTCCCCTGGTTATATTTTATGATATACGTTGACTATATATAACATTAAAACTATTATAATCACGGAACATGTTCGTTTCACTCTTTAGGTAATTGCATGCATGGTATTTACTCACTGTAAGCTTGACTAACCTTCGTCGTCAGTTATGGTTTTATACAGTTTACTCTTCCTGTCCTTAGCTGTCCCACATTTACAAGACGTGTGATTATAAACCACATATTTATAAAACTTCTTTTCATCGCTAGAATCCCGATCATTGTTTGTTATATCCGGAACCACTATCTCAATTTCTTCAATTTTGTCTGGAACCGGGTACACAGAAGGTCCCCTACTAGCTGGGCATTCGCCCACATCAACTTTAACACAGCGATAAACTTCGATGAAATATTGAGGTCTTGATGACGAGGTGGTGAAGTCATCATTGTATATTGAAACAACTTCTCTTTGTGGTCCTAAAACAAAATAATCAGGTATTGGTAGGTTTGAGTAAACTATATTTCTTTATTTTCTTCTATAGATACAAGACTACTACATATAATGAAAAGGCAGGTTGACCACCATCTGTTATACACTAGTGCTGAGTTAAACCAAATTAAACCACAGATTTATCTATTCACTGGTTTGAATTGTTTCAAGTATTAGAATACCGTGACAAAATATATGTAAAAAAAACTAAAGCTTCGAATTACCTGTGAAAGATTCTACAACTGCTAACTGCATGATGAACAATAGCAAAATGTTCACCCCAACGTGTTTGAAGTTTAAAATCTTGATATCTAAAGAACATGGATGAAAAAATTAATTTTATCCAATTTTCCAATTCATCAAACACAATTCAGCACTACGATATGATCAAACTTATATCCTGTATTATGATTTGATTTAAACTTTATCATGCAAACAGTATAGTACACACACGGCCGTACAATCACTCAGCACATATTAAACAATCAATATCGTAAAATTATGATCTTATCTGTCTAAATTTTATTGTCACGAAATTCACCTGCTTAATTGCCTACACTGTATGTATAATGTACAAACGTTTGAAAAGAGAAATAATCAAGAAAAGATAAAAAAATGCGTGGTCGATCAATAAGTATAAAGATCAGGAGAAATTTATGCTTGCTTTTAACATGTCACGAGTATGACATGTCCTTAGTATATTGTCTTTCCTCACTCAGAAGCCTTGTTTATATAAAGGCGAGTGACTGCATAGGCTTTAGAAACGGAGGAAAATTGGCAGATTAATTAATCCTTCCATAAAATATCCTTAATCAATCATGAAGAAAATTCAAAAGAAATTAAAGTTTAATCAATAGCTGTATCGGATACAGATTTCGTCCTGATTTACATAAACTTTCCATTTTCTTGGTTAAACTTGACGATCCATATATCGCCAAACTAAAATTGGTCAACTTGATTACTTATATAGATGCATTCATTTGTATCATCAGATAAACACCATGCACTGTTCATGCTTTATTCACTGCTTAAACAATTCTCATAGTTTCACACCGAAATAATTTTCAGTTCTTAAAAACCGGCAACATATGCTGTTATCACTTGGTAAATATTGTGAAGATTAGGAAAAAAATAGCAATACCACTGTTAGTGAATCATAAATATATGTTTGAGTGAATAAATGAACGAATGGTCAACTTAAGGAATGAAATTAGAATCAAGATACATTAAAAAAATTCAAATTTACACCTACCCATATTTGTAAACTGGAATGACTTGAAAATCTGTCCTTGTCTTTGGAAATCTGTCCTTGTGAAGGTCAGCAATGGAAATGATTTCGAACTCACAAACTTCACGTTTATATAACCATAAAATTACATAATTTCGAAACTTGATGGTCAAACGTTTGCCCCCTTAATTATTACAATTACCGCATTTTTGTGGTAAGTTAGAATCGTACATTTTGCTTTCGCCAGTAACGTACGTAACCTCGGGTGCATGAAACGAAGCTGCTAGACTAGTTAGTGTCTTTCCACCGAATTACGTGGGCGGTGCTGAAGGTCAATTCAAACTTTGCAAAAAATCATCTTACTTATCTTAGACAGAGAATAGAGATTTTGTGTCTTAGATTTGTTTTTCAGTTAGTGGCGGAAAAAAAACGACTTTTCAGTTAGTCGAGACAGAAATCACGGCAGCTTATTGGACGCCGCTTCCGTGTTGATATACAGTTATATCAACACGAGTGGAAATTGGGAAAACGAGAAATTCTGTGGAAACACGACGCCCGAAGGGCAGAGCCGGAGTGTTTTCACACAATTTCGATTTTTCCCAATTTCCACGAGTGTTGATATAACTGTATATCAATACGGAAAAAATGTTTAATATTATATTTGTTTTATAATATAGCACAAAGTAATATAAAGAAATACTGAAATTTTCCGATGTTTCCGTGTTGATATTGAGTTATATCAACATGGCTTTTAGCCAATCAGCGTTCCGAATTTAGAAATGCTATATTATAAATCATTTTATTAATGTTCCTATAAATAATTTAATGAAAATTTTCTAAAACTATACTCTGGTTTGTGTATATTCACGAGGGTAAAAATATGCAAGTATCTGACTAGAGTCGAAAGCAAGGAAAAATAATCCTACTCTCCGAGAATTACATCAACAATTATTCGATTAATTAAACAATTGCGCACCATCATAGGCAATACAGAAAGTAAACAAATTAAATTATGGGTTTCACTAAGGAGTCTAAAGCCCTCATTCCACGAATTTTTTCTCGAAGAAATGCGAGAAATCTGTACTGGGAAAGCGAAAAAGGTGGGTAAATTCACTAGGAAATAGTTATTTTACTTATTGGCGCCAAACTCTGTCATCTATAGACAAGTAGCGCCCACGCAGTCCCAATATGCGCAACTAGAATGATGCAACCAACCGTATTTTGCGGACACAATTTCTCGCAAAGAATTTCGCCGTTATGCAGGAATCAGGCCTTATATATAAAGCGCTTTCGCGTCGCAGTAGGTTGTCAATCTCTGGTTATTGAAGAGAATAAATGTAATTTTCATTGTTTTTAAAATTATTTCGAACATGTAGCGTTGCATGTAGCAGTATTTCGCGTCAAGTATTTATTTATACATATTGAGATGTGTTTTAACCTTGTTGCTCTTATAAATGTCAACATTTCCTAAGTTAAGAGGTTGACCATCATCTGCTGCCCGTGAGAATTTGTAGTGAAATGCGGCACTTGAAATGAATTCATTCTATTGATATGATTTCTAAACTCTCTATTCTTATGTTTAGTTATGACGCTTAATCACTTAAAATTATTATAAGCCAAGTCTCTATAGTCTAACTGCATTTGTATTCTCAAGAATGCAAAGGGAGATCCTGTATGATTAAACAATGGATGAAATAAGCCGCGAACTTTATTTATACTAGAATTTATTTCTAAATATATCTCTAAGACTAAGTACAGTATTATAGTTCCGCTCTCCTTAGAGGTCCAGTAAAGGCCATTTCTTATTAGAGCATTATTTCAGCCGAATTAAGGAAACCGGCTTTGAAGTTCTCTCACATGAAACTGTGGTGAAATACACCCATCCGGAACGAACTAATCCATGATTTTTCGTGATTGAAAAACCTTATTTGCTTTAGCTACAGGGCTCTTCAGTTATGGTTTGAGCATACTGCTGGCAATCTCAATAACGAAAACCAGGAGATAATTAACATACTTTCCGGAAGGGTGTAATAACACTTACAATATTTCAGGAATCGAACCCAGGATGTTTAAAATTTATACATCCTACGACATGCTGGCAGAGATTAACAACAAATTAATTTTAGGACTGTACAGCCTACGTGATTCACAAAACAGAGCTTTCGACTCCCTGTATGCAGTTGTGTTTGACGTGTATATATGATTGGATATATGGGATGCATAACATTATCCTTATGTTTAACCTGAGTTGTCTGATTATTAACTTCGTCTCATGCAGTCACATGTGAGAAGATACTCAAAGCGACAAATTCTATTTTTACACTCGAGTATATTATAGCTATCAAGAATGTTCTAGGATTGTCGTTATACAATGAAGCATAGTTGAGCAATATAGGTTCTCCGTTTGCCTCCTGTAGTAACACCAGACCAAAAAGGATTACCCTACACTAAACCTCTGGGAAGAACAGTTTAGAACTGATAGAGCTATCCAGTATAAATTAACAGTTATAGTATTTTAGTTTAGGATTCCTCACTGAATAAATAAGGGATGGGTTTTATCTAGGGAGAACGGTTTAGAAGTGATACAGCAATTGATCAGTATAATAAAGTTAGTTTAGAAATCTTAATGTTATACGTTGAACAAAGGAATTAAACATTTCATATTGCGCATTATAAAGCATGACTATCCTAAAGGTTTAATACAAATATGATTTGTTCATGATGCGTCAATAATTGCGCAGCAGTTGGGAAAAACAAACCATAGAGAGAGAAAACCACTCTCATCCACTGTGCATCACAAAATACGTGGTCCAAACCACACCGGTTAGGAAATACCCACTGATTGACGAATGCTCATGACACAATATTGGAAAGTAGACGCATATAAAGTGGGTTATTTGATACACAATAAATTAACAGAAATGAAAGATGCAGAGCCCTATAAGTGCCAACATTTCCGAGGACGACTATATCACTAAACCCACGAATAGACGCAAACGAAAGCTCATATGACGTACAATATTGGAAAGTAGATGCATATAAAGTGGGGCATTTGGAAGCATAAATAAGTAGACCCGTTGGCTGCGGTGTTAAAATGTCAATAATGTGATTATTGCGTCAAATAAAAGGAATACTAAACTGTCGCGCCTCTCGAAAGTAATTCCGTGTTTCTGCAGGACTGCCTTGATCGAATGACATGCGCCTGTTGGCGTATAGTCAACACCAAAGCTAATAGTTTAAAAACAAATGCTTAATCAGGTCTTAACACCCAATTAACCGCTCTGGTCATTTCGTTTCTATCATAATTCTAAACAAATGCTCTCAAAAATTCAAAGTATTTGAACCCATTAAGTTGTATTGCACCCCAATTTCCCGCCCAATCTGCCCTGCCTATCGCCAGACGATTTTGTTCGTTAAGGAAAGAGCGCTGGCGCTCTGTGTTTGTTCACACATCTCTCTATATATAGGGTCAATTTCTATATAAATATCTTCAATATTAACGTAATCCTAATTGCCTAGCTAAGTCTAACCATGATATTACCATATAGAGTAAATTCGGTACCTTAATTTGTTATGACATCCATTAAACTTCTTGTTTTACGAGTGGTGACATTCAACTTTGGGTTCAAGGGCACTTCATGACTTAATATCAAGCGACCATCTATAACACTGCAAAAAATAACAGTTCAAATTAGACACATAATTTCTGTGAAATGCGTATAAGTACATAATCTAGTATAAAATTATATATATTTTTATAGTCATAAAACTGCGAGGCAATGACTTGATATCTGATCTAAATGGTTCTTCCTATACCGTGATGCATCATTTTCAGGGTTTCCATTTAATTTGAGCATGATGACACGTACAGGAATTTACAAACTACCACCAAACGGTTGAAGTTCGTCAGTAAAAAAGCTCTCTTATTATTTCTGTCAAGAAAACTTATCTAATTAAGTCTGGACAAGCCACTAAGAACACCCAAAGGATGAGTTTTGCTATAGATCACCCGGTTGTTAAGACTGAT